GGGGCTACAGGGAAACCCTGTCTCAAACAGACCAAGAAAAAAAAAAAAAAAAAACACTTTGAGAATTTCATACACACATATAAGGTATTTTATTAAATCCATGCCCACTCCCTCCCCTCCAACATTCCCCCCTCTGAAGAGGTAACCCTAAAATCTTTTAAGGATTAGATACAAGCTCCCAAATACTTTTGACATTTTATTTATTTATTATTTTTATTGTATGTTATGTGCACAAATATATTGCATGCATGTAAATGCACCCATGTTGTGCCCACAGAGGTCAGAAGAGGGCTTCAGATTCCCCTGAAACTTGAGTTACAGATGGTTGTTAGCCACGATGTGGATGTTAGAAACCCAGGTCCTCTGCAAGAGCAGCCAATGCTCTTAACTGCTGAGCTCTCTCTCTCCAGCCCCAATGTCCAGTTTTATTATACACCAACTATACTTCAATAAAACTTGAAGCTTTAAAAAAAAAACCAACTTGGTGGGCATGGTGGTGCATGCCTTTAATCCCAGCACTCAGGAGGCAGAGGCAAACAGGTTTCTGAGGCCAGCCTAGTCTACATAGCAAGTTCCAGGCCAGTCAGGGCAACATAGTGAGATCCTGTGCCAAAAAACGAATTCAATTTAAATTTTTTTAAAAAACTGGGCAGCAGGAGATAGTGATGGCCCTTGCGCCTAAGAGTAAAGTTGGCTCAGAGGTAGCAGTGAGGGCGGAGTCCAAGTGCAGATCCGTGAGGCTGCTGGCCAAATTAGCACCTACCAAAGTGAAAACAAAGCCAAAAAAGGCCACCAGAAAGATAAACCTTTGGGGAAAAGGTGCAAACAAAAGGGAAAGCTGGTGAAGTGGCCTGCCAAGAAACTAAAGATCTGCCTGAAGAAAACAGAGAACTGAAAACCAGAGTCCAGCGGTATTCCTGACACCCTTCCTGTACAATCCAGAGAATTCTTTAATCAGCTATTTTGTAAATGTGAGTTTCTTAGTAGCTCTAAAAATCTCACCTCATCCCATTTTTTAAGTGTAAAATTTTTTTTTTTTTTTAAGGTGAAATCATTCACTGGTTGTTTCTTTTTTTGGGATACTTAATCATGAGAGGCTGTGACTGTCTTGGGTGTTAGTAACCAACTCCATAGAAGGGCGGGGGTTAGTTTTATAGCCTATAATACAGAGCATACTAATGGCGATTTGGAGACCCAGTTGTGCATTTAATGTGTCTTGAATATTTTAAATTACTTCTAGTCCTGTGTTTTTTGTACAACTGTTTAAAAAAAAAACCATAACAAAAACAACACTCCTGTCTTCGTGTCATAATGGGGTGCCATCTGTTAACATCTCAGGAACCTAACAATTTTGACAACGTGCTATAGAAGATGAAACTTCTGAGTGTGTAGTATATGTGATATATTAGAACATCACTGGAATAACTTTTAAAACACACACATACACACACACACACACACACAATACATGGCTCTTTAGATTTTTGGTACCTATGTTAAGAATTGTATACAAATGGAAATGTCTGTGTACTGACGCCCAACCAATAAAATTTCCGTACAAAAGAAAAAAATAACAAAAATAGCACCACACACAAAAAGATGTGCCCACATGTCATGCAATGACTTGGACTGGTTACAGGTAACACTGTGTAGCACATAGTCGGTTTTAAAGAATAACAACATGAGACATTGCTAGTTTCTTATCTCAGAGCCATTGTCTTCTGCTTCCTAACAGAAGCCAGACTGTGCTTATGTAAGAAAATGTGTCCTCTGCCTTCTCCTGCTGCTACACATACACTAACAAAATAAGTAAAAGTTTTAAAAAAAGCCTGGTCTGGCAACTGGCTCAGTGAGTAAGGGGATTTGCCACCACGCATGACGAAGTGAGTACAATCCCCAGAACGCACATGGTAGAAGGAGAGAACCAATTCTCACAAGTGGACTGTTTCTCTCTCTCTCTCCCCCCCCCACTCCCCCCACACAAAGCAATAAAAAAATTTAAAAGAAGGAAATTCATCCAGCTAAATTAATACATTTTATCTCTGGCTGTTTAAACACCTAACAGTGTAACAGAGGCAATATGTAATACCCCTTCCTCCTCAATCCTTCGAATGTAGGTTTGATACCTGGCGGTGCACCATCTGCTCTGTGTCCACTAGGGAAAAAGTCAATACTAACTAATCATGGAGAAAAATTTAAAACAAAACAAAACAAAACAGGTCTATGTCTATAATCTCAGCACTTGGGAGACAGAGAATGCCAAATTCTGGCCCAACCTGGGTTATAAAGTGAGACCCTATCTCAACAACAACCATAACTATTCACCACCCCAACCCCCAAAACAAAAAATTTCCTCAGATCTGAAGATGTGGTGGGAACATGTCTATAAATCCCAGCACTTGGGGCAGGGAGGGTAAAGGTAGGAGGATCAGGAGTTCAAGATTATCCTCAGCTACATAAGGAGTTCAGGGCCAGCTTGAGCTACATGAAACCCTACTTCAATGTCACTGTTTCTTCCCCTCACCAAAAAAAAAAAAAAAAAAAAAAAAACCACATACACACCCCACCCTCAGAACTCCTCTTATGGCTTTTCCTTAAATAGATTAGTTCACTTATCATAGATAATGGCTTAAGGTAACTATTTTGTCACTACATAATACAAACTGCCAAAGATACATACTCTAAATTATTTTTATTCTCAATTGCCATCAAAGCCTAAACAGCAATTTATAACCAATGTTATAATGTGAGACGGCCTTATCCTTGAAGATCTTTTACTTGGAACTAATCATAATGCCGATTAGCAAACATGTCTACCTAGTAATACCATGTTGTAGAAATTCTCAGGTCCTAAAGCTATATAACCAGTAACAATGCCAAATTATACTGAAAGTAGAACTTCACATCCACTGCTGCTTTACTTTGGACACCAGGAGCCCTCCCAGGGCCTCCACTGGCTGGCTTACCAAATCAGGTCTCCTGCTCTACATATTTGCACTACTTTTCCTTTTTCTAAATTTTAATTTTTCTCAATATATATTTTACGCCAGGCATGGTAGTGCATGCCTTTAATCCCAGCCATCAGGAGGCAGAGGCAGGTGAATCTCTGTGAGATCGAGGCCAGCCTAAAGACTGACTTCAAGACCGGGACTAGGGAGACCCTGTCAAAAAAACAAAACAAAACAAAACAAAAAAAACAACAACAACATAAATAAATAAATATGTTTTTATTGAATTTTTGTGCATTTCATACATCTTAATCATATTTAGACTCCCATGCCGATCTGTATCCCCCGTAGCCCCACCAGATTTCATGCATTCTGTCATATATGTTAAGACCTATTAGTCAAGTCTGTGTCCCCCCAGTGTGAGTTCATCCACTGGAGCCTGTTCATCCTATCCAGCATCATTCCTATAAGGAAGACCAACTCTCCCTCACACAGCAGTGATCAGCTGCCAATAGTTCCTCAGGTTGGGGCCTCTTACTCATTTCCCCAGTTCTCTGCTGGCTATTTGTCTGGTTTGAGTTTGCATGGGTCTTATGCAGGCTGTCACCATTGATGTAAGTTCATTTGAGCAAGTTCCCAGAAGCCTGGAAAATTCTGTTTCCTTGTGGTCATCTACCACCTCTTTCTCTTACAATCTTTCCACCCACTCTTGCACAATGGTCCTGAGCCCTGGGTGGGTGAGATTTAATATAGGAGTTCTATCCAGGGACATGCACTCTACAGTCTTTTATTCTCTACATTTTGGCCAGCTATGGCTGTGTTTTGATTTTTATTCTTTTTTTTGGTCTTTTTGAAACAAGGTCTCCCTGTAACCGCAGCTGGCCTGCATTTGCTAATGGAGACCAGGCTGGCCTTGAACTCACAGAGATCCGCCTGCCTCTGCCTTTAAAGGCGTGCACCACCACGCCCGGCTTTTTTATTCTTAGTTGAGTGCAGGTTCCCAGAGACCAGAAAAGGGTGTCAGATCCCTTGGAGTTAGATTTGCTAATGGAGACCAGGCTGGCCTTGAACTCACAGAGATCCGCCTGCCTCTGCCTTTAAAGGCGTGCACCACCACGCCTGGCTTTTTTATTCTTAGTTGAATGCAGGTTCCCAGAGACCAGAAAAGGGTGTCAGATCCCTTGGAGTTAAAGTTACAGGCACTTGTGAGCCACCTGATGTTGGTGCTGGGAAGTGAACTCACGTCCTCTTAAGAGTATTTACTGACCCTGTCTCAAAAAGACCAAAAAAGCCGGGCATGTTGGTGCATGCCTTGAATCCCAGCACTCAGGAGGCAGAGGCAGGCGGATCTTTGTGAGTTAAGCCAGGCGTGGTGGCACACACCTTTAATCCCAGCACTTGGGAGGCAGAGGCAGGCGGATCTTTGTGAGTTCGAGGCCCGCCTGGTCTACATAGTGAGTTCCAGGACAGCTGGGGCTACAGGGAGACCCTGTCTCAAAAAGAAAAAAGCATTTGCTGAGCCATCTCTCCAGCCCCGACACTGTTTCTAATTAAAAACATTATGCCTATAAATATGATTAAGCTATATTGTAGCAAATGACAAAAATTCAATGAGATATACATTAAAAAATATATATATATATATTATGCCTAGCCAGACATGGTGGTACACACTTTAATCCTATCACTCAGGAGGCAGAGGCAGATGGATCTCTGTGAGCCTGGTCTACATACTGCCAACCTGGTTTATATAGCAAGTTTCACACAGCTGGGGCTACAGGAAGATCCTGTCTCAAAAAAGAAGTCTCAATTGTACCTGTAAGAGAACTGGGGAGCTGAGAGCATCAATACGTCTTATAAATTCATTGAGAAGATAGAATTTTTACAAGGGGAAACTATCAAAATATAAGGAATGTACATATGTAGTATAGCCAGAAACTGTTGTAACTGTTCACTATATCCATTATTACTGGTAATTACTGGTAATATAACATCAAACATTTTACATAAAATGCTTATACTATACTTAAGTTGTCCATCACTCATACTTACTGATCGGGCACATTTTTTGGGGGGGCTGCTAGAAAGTCCATCCAGTTGCCCATGTTCACCCAGAAATCCTGTTACTTGGTCCAAGAAAGATGATACATCTAATTGGTGCCACTCTACTAGCTTCTGACCTAAAGATTAAAAAATCAGGATATATAAATATAAAATCAGTACTTTTTCTAAACATGCTCATTAAATAGTTAGCCTATGTGTAATTTAAACTTGCTTGGGGCTGGCGAGATAGCTCAGCGGTTAAGAACACTGACTGTTCTTGAAGAAGACCTGGGTTCAAATCCCAGCACCCACATGGCAGCTAAGAACTGTCCATAACTCCAGTTCCAGGGGATCTGACAGCCTCTTTGTCCTCTGCAGGCATTGCACGACACGGGTGCACTTACCAACATGCAGGCGTTAACACTCATACACATAAAATAAAAATAAAATATTTTTTAACATTTGCTATAAATATCCCCACTCCCAACTAGCTCAAGTTACGGTGTCTTCATTACCTAGAGGCTAGGTCAATTATGACTTGCTGATAGATTTCTATTCTATCTCCTAACAGCCATTTAGGAAGATGAACCTAAGACAAAGCAGAATCTCAATAAATACAAGTAATAATGAAAACAGCTCCATCCTCTAGTTCTATGGTGGGATACAATCAGTACCTAAATCGTCTTAACAATTTAGAGATAGAAAACCTAATGGATCCCTTATAAAGAGATGACATATTAGTTTCTTTTGAAAAGAACAGAACTGAACAAATAAAAACTACTGTTACCTCTCAAGTTGCAGGAAACGGATTCCCTAAACACGCACCATTGATATTTAAACAACAGTAATAGGAAGAAAGAAGAAAACTTAACTATTACATTGCTAAAATCAGATCCAGTCAAATATTAAAGATCAACTATTAGGTAGGTGAAAAACAAATGACAGGTTAAAGGCTATAAATGGCTATAAACTTACCTGTCCGAGGGTCCAGGATGGAAACATAGGGAAAATCCCCTAGTTTATAAAACTGTATGTATCTCTGACCTTCTTCACTGTCATGATAAACCTGTTAAATTAATCAGGTTTTTTAAAAGCATCTAAGAAAAAGGGGACAACTATAACTTTTGTTATATATCCACTGTAACTGATTCTCTAAATAAGTTTTTGACTTATGTGTTAGGATCTCACTCCCATGTTAAAGAGAAAACAAAAAGGACATCAGGTAAGGACTTCCTTTAACTTCCTACTCTCAGCGCCTTCTGAAAACTTACCGTGAGCATATTAGTACATTCCTTTTCCACTCTCAGTTCAGAGGCGAGATTATTCTTCCTGTTCAATTATCTGTACATCTATGCCATTTCTGACTCTTAAAAGTGTGTGCGTGTGTGTGTATATATATATATATATGTATGTATGTACGTATGAGTGTATATATGTATATGTATATTTATATGTATGCATACTTATACATACATATACACTTTTGGGGGGGTAGTCTTTTTGAGACAGGGTCTCCCTATAGCCCCAGCTGTCCTGGAACTCACTATGTAGACCAGGCTGGCTTCGAACTCACATAGATACACCAGCCTCTGCCTCCACAGTGCTGGGATTAAAGGCATGTGCTACCACACCTGGCTAAAAGTACATATATTTTAATAAATAGCAATATATTAAGATTGTAACCTAAAAAAAAAAATAAGAAAATGAAAAGAATAGCAGGGTGTGATGGGACACGTCTTTAATCCCAGCACTTGGGAGGCAGAGGCAAGCAGATCTCTTTGAGTTCAAGGCCAGCCGGGTCTACAAAGTGAGTTCCAGGCCAGCTGGGGCTACTGGGAGACCCTGTCTCAA